CGGTCATAGTTAAACCAACAGATTTATGAGGCATTGATAAGCACACATTTTTCTTTATTTTTGGAGGATTTCTCGTCTGAAAATCTCTTTGAGTTACAATGACCGCCAAAAAGTTGCGGACAAACCCCTCTCCCTTTTTCATCGCTCTTTTTCAGAGGGAAAACAAGGATGAAAAAATGTAATGATTGCATGAGGTGATAGAGCTCTTCAAGATCTACAATATACACCTTGAGTTTTTTGAGATACATGTGTTCTAAAAATTTTAAGAATTTTTTTCTAAAAAAAGTCCGAAAATGGCCGCGTCACAATGTCGCGGACAATAATTCTTCGAACGCAAAAATTTTGTTTTGAATCCTATTTTAAAGCGGAAACGCAAGTTGTCCGGACGGGTAAACACACTACTATACAGAGCTCGTCAAGAGCTACAAACTGGTTATGGTTGCTTCCCTAAAAAACGCAAGCTTGAGTTTTATTTTACCTTTTCAAAAAACAACTGCTAATTTCCTTTATCAAGCCAAATTTCTTCACACGGAAACCTGTTCAAGACATCCCAACAAAGCCGTCTGGATAAAATAAATGCTTTTTGCCATCCTCTATGCATCGGACGTGTGCTGATGAGTTTCTTTGCTGAAAATGGCCCTTGGCAGTGCTTGCACATGACCCCACCTGCACCTCACCACTGACTTGTACCGTTTTGCAGGCTTGTAACTCGGCCTGCAGTCAATATTTAAGCCTACAATTAAACTCTTTCGAACGAGCGTGAGTTCCTGGACACGATGATATGCAAATGAGTTGAGTCTGAGAAATTTCAGAGATTTGGCGGATGGGGTGAAAAAGTGCAGCCTTAGAGGTGATTGGAGTGAAAGCTTTTATGAACACCAGGACAGTCTTAGAGCTTCGAAATGGATCTCTTACAAGAAAATTGACAGTTTTGAACTTCCAGGATTGGTAGCGAAAGGAGCTCTCTTCAACTTTAGCTGAAAAGTGCTTAGACTACAACTGAAGCTGCCCTCTACCACCCCATCCTCCAAATCTCTGAAATTTCTCGAACTTAACTCATTTGCATATCATCTTGTAGAATAAGTCTCGTTCTCTCAAATGAGCCTAATTGCAGGCTCAAATATTCATTGCAGGCCGAGTTACAAGCCTGCAAAACGGTACAAGTCAGTGGTGAGGTGCAGGTGGGGTCATGTGCAAGCACTGCCAAGGGCCATTTTCAGCAAAGAAACTCATCAGCACACGTCCGATGCAAGAGGATGGCAAAAAGCATTTATTTTATCCAGACGGCTTTGTTGGGATGTCTTGAACAGGTTTCCGTGTGAAGAAATTTGGCTTGATAAAGGAAATTAGCAGTTGTTTTTTGAAAAGGTAAAATAAAACTCAAGCTTGCGTTTTTTAGGGAAGCAACCATAACCAGTTTGTAGCTCTTGACGAGCTAGTATATTAGTGTGTTTACCCGTCCGGACAACTTGCGTTTCCGCTTTAAAATAGGGTTCAAAACAAAAATTTTGCGTTCGAAGAATTATTGTCCGCGACATTGTGACGCGGCCATTTTCGGACTTTTTTTAGAAAAAAATTCTTAAAATTTTTAGAACACATGTTTCTCAAAAAACTCAAGGTGTAGATTGTAGATCTTGAAGAGCTCTATCACCTCATGCAATCATTACATTTTTTCATCCTTGTTTTCTCTCTGAAAAAGGGCGATGAAAAAGGGTGGGAGGCTTGTCCGCAACTTTTTGGCGGTCACTGTATGTATTTCATCATGCCTACATTCTCTGTAATAATTTTTTGGAGTCCTTCATAGTGCAATTGTTTCGTATTCCTTTTCTTTTCTAGCAGCCAAAATATGCTCAGTTTATGCAACCAAAGCTATGCATTTTTTTGTAACTCCCCAGAAAGCAAAAAATTTTCCCAATAATTCTCAGTAGAGTTGCTGCCTTTTCCTGTTGCACTCTCTTGGCGACACTCATCCGAAATTGGCATAGCTCTGTAGGACCAGAGCTAGTGCCCTTCCCATATCAGTGGGCCACATAGTCCGCCCTTAATATTGATTCCTGATGACAAGTTCTCGCTGAAGCTCTTCTTTCAATCGATTCCTCTTCTCATTGTCAAAAATATATGCAGTTTTTGGAACAAAAGAATATTTCGTGCAACTTATTTGCCAGGAGCGTCTCCGAAAGTGCGCTTTGCTTCAGTAATATCATAAAATTAATTCTACAAAGTTTACTTTTTTGAAACTCCCGCTGACTTATCGGTTAGATCAGATTATCACAATTTTTTTTGCAAATCTATGTGAACTGCTCATAAAAGCCTTACCCTGTTTTCAGCTTTCATCACCGAATTTCTGTGGTTCTAAAATTGATTTTAAAATTAGCAATAGAAAAAGCGTTGTAAACTTGAGCTTTCATTCGCACATTTTTTTTTGATTTTCTCACTATCCATTTTGTGTGGTTCGCAAGCGCCAGCGCTTTAGCGAGTTTGATGAGCCTTTCTAGCAGCTAGAATTTAGTGTATCGTTAGGTACCCGCTGTTAAAGCAGCCAAGGGGCATGGCCTAGTGTATACCGCTAATGGTTGGGTACCTAACGCTCGCACCTCGGTTGGGTACCTAACGCCCGCCCGCCGATGCTATGAATTGCTGATGAATGTAAGCACATTTGCCGAACATTTTCCCGTGAAAAGCTAATTGCGCTTCTGAGGCTAGCTCCGATAGAGAACACTTACAAGGGATGTCAATTAACTTATGTTAGTATCGCTTTTCAAGATGACGAATCAGCTTCGAGCTAATTCCAAATATGCTGTTTCTAGCTGCGGCGCGTTATACTGCAGGAAGTTATGAACTTTTTCCTCTGCGAAATTGCCAAACTTTTCCATATGGTAGGGCTGCCTGGGGTGTATCCCATTACTCGTGACTGTCAAGTACGCAAGCGAAAAAGTAAAAAGTATGGCAATTTCGCATAGAAAAATGCCCATAATTTCCTTCAGAATAACGCGCCGCAGCTAGAAGCAGCATATTTGAGATCAGCGTTCGAAGCTCTTCCAAATATATGTGTCTCATCTTGAAACGCGATATTAATTCAAGTGACATCCCTTGTTAGTACACAAACAATATCAAGCTCTAAAAAAGTATGTCCCATTCACAACTGCTGGCTACCTCTGCTGTATTTCTATGACGTGCAGCGCGCATAACATGTTGACAACATGCAAAACGTGTTGGCGTCGAGGCTAACAGCGAAAAGGTTTCATCAGCACGGTGCTGCATGTTGCCAACACATTGTTGCATGTTGCTAACATGTTAGCACTTCGTAGGTCATAGACACACAAAGGAGGGGTAGCAGCATATGGAGTGGACGACGGCTTGCATATAATGAGTTGGTGAGTTGTTTTTTGTTTGTACGCAAAAACTAGCGCTACGCTAATTGCACCTTTTTGTGCAAACGCCAGCATATTTATTTCATAAAATGTATTGGCACGTCGACTGAAGGACTTGTACAACGATGTCATAACTATGATAGACATTCAATCTTAGCGTCTCGGTCATTAGCGCAGCGTAGTTAGGATTTTACATGGTCGTTTGGCAAGAACTCTTATTTGTGCTACCGCATTGCGCCTTCAATGAAGACGTTCTTATGAATATTGCGTGTGATAGAAACACTTACATCGAAACATCCCACCGTATTTCGAGTCGCTTTTAAGCAATTGAACAATGCTTTCATAAATTGTTGATTCAGACCTTGAAACATCCATCATTTTGAAACTACACCAGTCTGAGTGACTGCTGACGCATGCGGGTTGTGTATAGTGAAAATCAGAGTTCCTTCAACCCATAGCATTCCACCAGTGTGGTGTAATTGTGAGTAATTTTTTCTCTACTTTAGAAATAGACCTTAAGACATTGATAGTCCTTGATTGAATTATCTCAAATCACATCCCGATACAGCGAGCAGTCGCATTTGTGCCAGTTTTTCTAAGCGATAAAACATTTTACCTCTGCTTTACGTGAGCAGGAAATGCTTTGGCGTTCTGCATAGTCGCAACTGTGCGATAAGCAAATATGCGCAGAAGTAACCGAGCAATAAGCAATTATACGTAACTGTCATGATTTTTTCACTTTTTCAGTTTGATGTGCGTAGCCGCAACCGACCCCACACCACAATCGCGTAACCTTAGATCATGCGACCTGTGCGAAAACACTGCCCTTCAGCTTTAATGCACCAAAACATGATAACATGCTAGATGGTTCTTGGTATTTGCCCTTGGGCGAAAAGTCTTGCGCGGAAAAAGTTTGAGACAGTTCCATATAAGATCACTCGTCTCGTGCTGAAAGGCACGAGGGGCGTGTCCGCAAGGATTCGCATCTTGTCGAGCACCTCAAAGGCAGCGTCTGATCAAATCTGGACCTTTGGGGATTTTACGTCGAAAGCAATTTTGGGGCACTAACTAAGGCATGGCCCAAGCGGCAGCGCAAATGACTCGATAACGGCTGAGATATACGCCTCCAAACTAGACCGCAGGATCCATCAGACGACTTGCACCGTGCGAGCACCCACGTGACTGATGTGTCGCGCCATGAATCCATGCGAAATGCGATGGGGTCCGGTTTGAAAGCGAATATCCCAGCCGTTAGAACACCATCTGAGCTGCGGGTTGGGGGGTGTAGGACGATTCGCACGACCGTAATGCTTTCCACACAGGACCACCGCCGCGCGCGACACACCCTGCGGCGGCTTTTGCCTAAGCAAAACAGGGGGAGGAAAGGTTTGCGGCGTGCACTACTTGTTAAGACACGTCAAAATCAGGGAGACTCTGGAGACCGCCCGTGCGAAAAGACCGTCTCCCCGGGTTGGGCGCTGTCTTAATCAAGGTACCAAAATTACTGTCCACCTGAGATCCCCATATGTCCAGATTTGCCTAGACACTGCCTTCAACCGCCATCGCTATCGTGTCCGGAAACTGCAAAATTTCTTCATTGTGTATTACGCAGCGTTAAATGCACGCAAATGCATAAACAGATTCATTGAGAAAAGCGAGTTGGTAGATTTAATTGAAATGCTGAATTGAATACTGTAATGGCTACAGGACTTCATTTACTCCTTCATCAACTTCGATAGGGTCGTTTTGAATATTTTCTGGAATCATGAACGTAGAGAAGGGAACACGATATTGAGTGCTAACCAACCTCCTGCGACCGGGAGTCTGATCTTGCCAAGTTTGCATGCTAAACGAAAATTTACCCAGTACAAAAGCACATATGTTAATCTTGCTCACCTCTTTCGTAAGCCCTCATACATGAACCCTTATTGGTATCATTGTAATCACGATATGCCTCGGACTCCTTCCATAATTTCTGTAACAAAGCGAATTTCAGTGGTCATATTCACCAACGAACCCAGTGGGCTCTGCTACCCATTGAATTTGTGAATCCAGTGGGTCCGTAGGTTCGCGAGCCCACTGGGTAAGATCGGTGTTCACTAAAGCTCCGCTGGGTTCGCTAACCCATTACGACAGCTGTGTGTTTCTCTAATTTCTACTAACATTTCGACTCTCGACACACACGTATCGCGCTAAGCTAAAAGCGCCAGCACGGTTGACACGCTTTCGGGGATTCATATGTTCGAAAGAAAGCACATCAAACAATGTCTTTTGGGCAACGACGCTTTGCAACTAGCATTCTGGGCAGACTTTGCTACAGCAATTGCAGTTGCAGCCAAAGAGCGCGATTGGCTTGTGAGTGGAGACACCGTACCCAGCTCGGCGGCAATTGGATTATTGGCTCCAGCAGCTACTTTCGCGAGACCCGCCCAAACAGCACTCTTCACGTTCGGGAAAGCGAGTTATTGACATTTTTAGAATATGCAAAGCACATTTTCAGACTCATCTCATCCAAGGGGGTCAAGATTGACGAACATCCCAAAGTTGTGTGATTCTGCCGAGCCTGCCTTTGAAGCAACCGAATTTGGTGATTGCATTAGGAGAGCCGTTATGAAAACTAGGCTGAACATTGTTGATTTCTTGTACTTTCTTGTACGTGACGCCCAAATAGTGGGGGAGAAGAAACGTTTCCGTTTGCTTGAAATACCCAACGGGATTATCAGTGAACAGACTTCTGTCTCTTTGATGCATACAAATTACCACAAACACTGAATCCCCTTCTAATCTCTGTTATGTTTTATTCTTTTGAGAACAGACAAAATTTCTGAGTTTTTAAGTCACATTATTCTTTCAAAGCGGTTGTCCGCTGACTTTGTTGAATCAAGAAAATTTTTACACTGATTTCACGCGCACAAGCGCACCATTTTCGATTTTTCAGGGAGCCGCTCACCTGCTTCACTGTATTCTGGAAAGCGATCCATACCGCACAATTCTCTCAAGCAATACGGCATGGTATAGGGTTCTTTGTTTGCGAAGTCCCTTGGCGTGTTGAGCTGGTCAATTGTGAAAAAAAATTTACCGCACCTTGTACGCGTAAAATCAGTATAACCCGTGGAGCATACGAGTATACCGACACAAATGCAGACAGACACCCAATTTCCTACACAAGGTTGACTCTGTAGTCTCAGTGATACGTGAAAAACTCTGGGATAGCATTAGCAAACATCAAAAGGCTTTTAAGTTTTCTACAAAATGAAGCTACGAATTTTCCTTTAAAAACTTGTTGATGACTTCTCTGAGATTGCCAAGTAGTAAATGGCACCAATTTGGCTTGAGCTCTCTATGAAAATACTATTAGGTCGTGTAATAAGTTCTGTCCCAATTTTACTTTCGTTTTTTTCTCAATATTTTGCGCGATGTTCTGCAAATTGTTTATATGCATTTGAAAGCTCTAAGCCTTCTCTACTAAAACTTTCATCTCGGTTTTCTACATTAGATGACTTGAAAAAGTTTTACAGCGTCAAATTTGGAAAATCAAACAAGGAAAAAGTCCATTTTCGACAACTACGTTACGTCGCCCTCCTAATCAGTCAGAATGCCTAGGAATAAGCTCGAAAATTTGTTGCACGTAAGCAAAAAAGCTTGCTCTAGCTTCTATTGCGCTTCAGAAGTGCTGAAACTTTCCAAAAATCTTTTTTGTAGACTTCAGAAAAGTCTTCTTTCTAACGCCTTTTCAACGTTGGTGTTGGGCATTATCTGAAAGCATTCTGAGGGAAGACGGTAGGCAGATCATCCAAAAAAGACGGAAAATATGATTTGTGGCTTCAAAGTTACCGAGTTCGTAGGTTAAATACTCAAAATTCGAATTTTGGGAACCACACAGCTTGGGTACGCGAGACGGCGAGCATCGCCGCGACATAGTCTTGTCTTGCCGACTTTTAAAAAAATGTCATTAAATAGACCCCTCCCCCCCCCTTCCAACTCCTCTTCACTCAAAATTTCCTTTATGTACCTTCCTGAACTACTAATTTTGTCTTGAGAATATCCAGCCAACATTGAACTTATGGTTTTGAACTTTGCCATATTCTTCGTAGAATATTCTTCTTTGGAAGCGTGCACAACTCCTCTCCAAAAAATTTTGAGGCCAATTTTCTGTTTGCGTCTTTTATATGGGGTTTTGACAGAACTGCGCTGAAAACTTGCAACTACATAGTCCGGGGTTAGCAAGGGTTGGGTTGATGGCAAACAAAGCCCTTCCATTATCCTGTCTCTTATATACACCTGATGTAATACTGTAGAAGGAAATCACTGCGATCATGGTTGAAGTTTTTCAAAAAGGACTATTTTCCTTTTTCGGAGAAAATTTCGAAATTCTGAGATGAAGTCTTTGGTTAGAACTTACAGTTGTAGCTAAAAAAGGTTTCCGCATCCGTGCCAACTATCTAATATATCTCTTTCCAAAATTTAAATACTTTTAGAATGTTGTAAAACACTTATTATGCGCTATTTGATGTCCATCTGGCAATAAAAATCGCGCCTTTTGACATGCCCGGCACAGGTGGCTTGCAAGCAAGCAGGATATCATTTTGAGACGAAAAGCAAAGGGGTATCATTTTTGAGGCCGCAAAGACGCAAGGTTTTTTTTAGTAGACATTTCGTTTTTGAGTGTTTTTTACGTTTAGGATTCAGGGCTGAAAAGGGACTTCGTAAAAAATCGCAAAAGCCAGGGGGAATTTTCTCTTGCATTTTGCAAAAGCCACCTCATCCCGAGCCCTGTTTAAAGCAGTTTGCATATTTTCTCGCTGTCATTCATCATCTAAAAAGACATTGTTTTTTTATAACTCGGTGGATATTTATCTGAAAAGTTCAGACACTGTTGCGATGTGAACTGGGCAGAATCACATTTCCAAAATCATCAGATCTTACAACTACCCTGCTGTCAAACGCGTTCACTCAATTATTTATGGTGCTGTGCTTATTCGACATCATTTAAACCGAGAAAGCCAAGTTAGTGCTAAACATGATGACGTCATAGGTTGCTTAGGCGAGTGTGTGTCGAATCGTAAGGGTAATCAGGGTATGGAAGCGAGCGAAAGTGCAAAAATTAAGGCAAAGATCTGGACAAACATCCATCGCCGGCTGCTGACGTGCAATGGTCCCTCCCCTCTGCGCTTTATTATAGAGTATGATAAGGCTCTACTTCACGAACTTGAATGTTACCCTTTCGAGAACAAACTTGAAGGGATGCTCAGTTCTTTGTCAAGAAAACTGAGCAGTGTCACTCAAAAATTGTCACTCAAAGGTGCATATGTAAACATGGCTGTGCAAACCCCGCATTATGGACTATGTCCTGTTTGATTACCATGTGCAATCTTTCGCTCATCTCTCGTAAGGATGTCGATTTTTGAAAAATGGCCATAAGATTCACTTTCAGCCATAAAATGGGTGTTGACCGCGGATCTAAGTGTCACCGCGTAGACTTTTCACCCCGTCATCAGCCTTGAACATAAGAATTTCTAGAATCCTCTGAATTTTGAGAGTCTAAGTGAAGAATAACAGCCATTATTCGGAAATCTGAAGCAATACGCTCATGTGTTGCGGAAAAGATGCGACGGTCACCTGAGTTAAGTGTATAACCGTAGCGTAACCATATCACGCTTCAGAGTAGGCGGAAGCTGACTCAATGGCAGCATTAGATTCCGCTCGACAAGGCGCATCTTTTAATTTAAAGAGGTGAATCTTTGCTTACGGTAGGTAACAAGGATGCTTAACCACTGCACAATGACTAATGTATCAAGCGAAAATCTACTCATTCGTATTAGGATCTAACTGCCTGCTGTGCATATACCGTATCGAAACAGATGTGCTCCATATGAGATGCATTTCGTCGAGTGAGTCGAATATTGTTCTTGAGTTCAAATTTCGGCCAGTCTAGAGCAAGATATGAAAATTTAAATGTCACTCAGGTGACCTTGTCTCTGTTGCAGAAGTTACGAGTAATGTTGTAAAGAACTTGCAGAAAAGTCATAGCGCAGTTGTGCAGAAGCAATTGTTGGTGTTTGTCCGGTGTTATTACTGATTTCTAAAAAATTTGAGTAGGAAATATGAGTTTTCTAACTAAAACAGCAAGAAATGTGGTACATCGTAGAAGTTGTTTTCTTCAAGCCAAAATTGCTATTTACATGAACATTTTTGTTATTTACAGTTATCTCCTTTTTTTTGTTACGAGCAAAGCATTCTGCCAAGCCGTGTGCCGTCTTCCGTTGATACTCAATACTTGGACTTTAGCTAACCTACTACGTGCATTTAGTGACCCCACTTTCTAGATTCGCATATGCCAAATGCTTTGGATATGTAAATCAACATAACTGTGTTACTAAAAGAAACTACCTACCACAACATAAGTACAGTTTGATGAGCAAAAGTCTGTGTCACAGACACATTTGACGAATCCTGCTTCATCCACATAACACGTATTGTGCGCCTGAAGTAAGGTTCCTATAGTGCGGTAGTTCCAAGTAGCCGTCGGTTCACAAGCTGAGGAAATGAGCGGATTGAGTCAGATTTATTGAGCATGGAGTATTCCCAAGAGTGAGCAGGAATGAGCTGTGTATGTAGATGACTCTATCTTAAAGGCAGTGTCCGGGCAAGATGAGGCTTTTGGAATTTCAGTGCATGCGAAAGAAAGTAGTCCCCTCGGACACAGCATCGTGCAAGTATGGAGTTGTAAAGTTCAACCTAAAGCAAGAAAAACGATCGGGAAGTGGGGAAACTTACGCCTTGGGGCGGGGTCCTCCACATGTCTAAGGGCCGCATGCACTAACCTCCCCGCTGGGGAGGGGATTGCAGCTTAAAAGAAAGCTTTATATTTCGAAACTCCAGATACCTGGATTTCACATTGTGTACCTATCCGTAAGTATTCCTACTACCCTTTACTATGAACATGTTGAACAGGAGCGAGAAGCTGTACGAATCGCATTTTCCAGCTTTTGTACGATCCCTGATGATCCCCGGCGCTTTACTTCAAAGTCATTTTTCTTTCTCCGAAGTTAACGAAAACCTTCCAAAGTTGTACTGGACATCTAACACAACAGTGCTAAGCATGTTGCTGATGAGAACAAATGAGTTTTTGAAAAGTCGAATTTTTCGCTAAACCTCAAATTTCGACCTGTGGATCATCGAAAATTTCATGACTTCAAAACATCATTTATCAGCAACATGCTTAGCACTGTCGGTTTAGATAATCTGCACAACTTTGGAAGGTTTTCGTTGACTTCGGAGAAAGAAAAATGGCTTTGAAGAAAAGCGCCGGGGATCATCAGGGATCATACTAAAGCTGGAAATTGCGGTTCGTACAGCTTCTCGCTCCTCTTCAACATGTTCATAGTGAAGGGTAGTAGGAATACTTACGGATAGGTACACAACGTGAAATCCAGGTATCTGGAGTTTCGAAATATAAAGCTTTCTTTTAAGCTGCAATCCCCTCCCCAGCGGGGAGGTTAGTGCATGCGGCCCTAAGGCTCCCGCCAGAGTGCCGAAGTTATGCCAGCGCTACGCCAGCATTTCGATCGATACACGTGTATTTCGTTGGGGACGTCAGCTAGCCCCGCCCCAACGAAATACACGTGTATCGATCGAAATGCTGGCGTAGCGCTGGCATAACTACGGCACTCTGGTGGGAGCCTAAGTTGCTGCTATACGGCAGAGTGCGCATGCCGCCACAGTCAAAATGGTAGGGTCCCGCAGAGGATCTACGTCTCAGCCCTGGCGGTGACCGTTGAATTTCAAAAGTAAGGCTTGGAAATCGCATGTTCTCGCCGTTTTCGCGCCTTCTAATGTGGATATTCGGATTCAGCGTTGCGGATACCCTCGGTAAGTGGATTTTTCCAAAAATCGAGTTTTTGCTCGGACACTGCTGAAGGGGCGAAAATGGAGGTATGAAACGTTTTGCTGATATCGTTCCGCTTGCCACAAAAATCGAAGTACGTATAAGACTTCATGAAAACATTTGGTTTCAACAAAATCAAAGCGATCACCAGGTTGAAGAATGTGAAAGTAGTCATGCACGAGTGTGCGATTATTTTTGTCAGACACGGAGCATCCAGTATGAAAATGCATTGAGGGTGTAGATCTTCCCCCTGTAACAGATTCGTTTTTTATGAGAATTTCTTGATGAGTACTGACAATGTCGGATACTCTGTAGGGCGTGGTCTGCAGGTGCCACTTCCAGCATTTGAGTGCTGTCGACGATTCCAGTGCAACAAGTGCAATGAAAACAACAGCAGCAGGAACAACTGAATTCGAGCGTCATTACAATTGAAGAGAATAAATGAATTGTGAGATAGATGAACTCGATTTCGTTTCCTCATATTTTGTGCTGTGATTTCAGTTCTCCGGCAAAGGGAGTGAATGAATGCGGGCATAAAGTCCCTGAAGGTATAGTCACGCGATATCAGTCGCTGCGCGACTTGTTACTGCAGCGACTGCCCATAATTGGTTGTAAGCGGATTTTGCTTGGTCCAGACTTGATACTTCTGCTGCAACTTGCAAGTTAATACCTATGCATCTGAGATCTTCGCATAGCCAATGTGGACAAATCGCAAGTTGCGTGGATGTAGCGATTTGACGAAAGTGCGGGAATGCCTTAGGCCTGTCAGTGAATAGCGGATGTTACGATTATGACTAGAATTTTCTCAAAGGCAGTGACTTACAGAAGTGAGGTTGCACGGGCCTCCACAAACTCTTTTGCGGGCCCATTGCGACTCAGCGCCCACCTTCTCGGTGTTGCTGCCATTGTGGCAGGGGCTAAGATGAAAAGGCACAACTCGTCCATGTTGCTTCAAAAGGCCCCCAGAAACCGGGTTTTTCAGAAATTTTATGCGATTTGAACTTCAACAATTTCGACAGGGTCCGAAAGACTTGTAAAATGCATATCGTCAACCAAATTTCAGTGAGAACCGCCTATAAATCTAAGCAATTTTAGAGAAACTCAAACGGTGAAAGTGTTAAAGAACCACCTCGCATCCACGAAGTCTATTGCAAGAACGGGACTTTTGGCAATGAAAATATTATCCGCTGTGATGTTAACCAGCTATGAAGTTTTAGCATTTCAAAATGCATGATGATATCGCTCTTAGATGCAGTGCCCAGGCAAATCTGGGCACATGTGTTTTCGCGTGGAATTTGATGAGAGGGTCCTAACTACAGCACTGCATAGCGGTAGCGTAAATGATTCATCCACGGTTGGGAAATCCGTCCCCCCCCCTCCGCGCCTGCTCCGTGACCGTAATCCGCGAGTACTTCGGATGTGCCCCAGCGCGAACGTAGTGTTAATGTGGCGAGTCACTTTCGGGTCACGGTCGCGGCGCAGGCGCGGAGGGTCTGAGGACGGATTTCTTAGCTGTGAATGTGTTACTGGCGATGCCGCTTAGGCAGTGCCTAAGTCAAGATTACCTCATCGTTTCCACGCGATAAACCCATGTGCCCAGATTTGCCTGGACACTGCCTGTGAGGTTGACTCGTTCTTGTAGTATGTAGACGCAAAAAGAGTGCACAACACCAAAACTTGAGTCTCATAGTTAAAGACAACACCCAACAGCAGTCCAGCATTTTTAGCGTTATGTGATTTATGATGATAGACCTTCTTTACTCTGTGTTTTTCAAAAAAAAAACTGGAACCACAACGCTGCATACGCTAAAAAAATGAGTAGCGAACACTAAGAAGTTTTAGTTTTTCGTCCTCGTTGAAACCTCAGCATAATTCAAACTGTGTCAGTATAATGTAGCCAGCACGAGGTTTGGGCTAAGCAATTTATTACATCAGTGGTCACGTTTCGACTACTCGTCGTCTTCGGAGGCCTTTGCTCCACCGCCGGTCACTTGATGATATAGTGCGACCGCTTCCTTGGTGACAGTAGTGCCAATCAAGGAATTTGCCACTACTGCCACCAAGGAAGCGGTCGCACTATATCATCAAGTGACCGGCGGTGGAACAAAGGCCTCCGAAGACGACGAGTAGTCGAAACGCGTTAGGCCACTGATGTAATAAATTGCTTCGCCCAAACCTCGTGCTGGCTACATTATACTGACACATTTTGAACTAAGAATTTTGTTTTTCCACGGCATGGTTGGCAGGTACAAAACTAGTTTTTTGAGAGTATAAAATCGAGATTTTCTTCCAGAGATGATGTTACACGAAATATTGCAGATGGAAGTCGAGCTAAAACTCGTCAAAAACGAAAAAAGTGCAATGTGAGATACAAACACAATGGCGAGCCTTGACAAGCAGACGTTGAATAAGATTAACTTTAAAGGCAAATGCCTGATTAATATTGGACAGCAGATGGCTATGAATTGCTGATGGATGTAAGCACACTTGCCACACACCTTCCTATGAAAATCTAATTGCGCTTCTGAGGCCGAAAATTCAAACGCTCCGATAGAGAACACTTAGTACACAAACAATATCAAGCTCTAAAAAAGTATGTCCCATCCACAACTGCTGCTACCTCTGTCGTGTGTCTATGACGTACAGCACATATAAAGCCCTGACCATACGTGCAGCGATTTCATCGTCGCGATTTCATCGCCAAAGAATTTCGTGATTATAGCGACGAAATCGCGACTATCAAATCCCTCATCGCGAGTTCTGGCCGTAGCGGGGTGGAGGACATTAGGTCGCCGAAAAAGGGCGGTCCCCGCGGTCATTTGCGACAAATACGCACCCTTGTACATGCGCGGACATGCGTTCCTGTAGGGAATCCACGCGGGACTCTTCCAAATTCGGCGACCTAATGTCCTCCACCCGCCGTAGCGTTCAACGACTGCGTACAGTTACACATTTTAGCATACATTTTACGTAAACCTTTGTGCAGTATTCACATTCACCTTGGTTTGTTGAATTATCAATCTGCCTGCCTATGAATGATTGGAAATCGAAACGCAGACGCGTAGCCACACTCCAGTATCAATATTAGCATCTAATCAAATTTTGAAAAAGTCTATGATACAGCTCAACAGGCTCTCACTTGATACAATTGTATCCGTAGATGACTTCAACAATAAATGAAACTGCGCAACAGTTCAATTAAAAATGTAAACAAGAAGCGGCACTACACTTGCTACTCATTTAGAAGTTTCGAACAAAGACAGATATCTACTTCAATGACACGAATTAGAAGCACGAAGAGCATCATAGTACCAAAGAGGTGCAATTGGAAATCTGCATCACATTTTAACCTTTCCGCAAAAGAAAAACGAGTCGCAAGAGAAAAGAACTGTTCTAAAAACATCTTGGAAAGAAACTCAATCTCAGCGATATCGCCCCGTCGCTGATTTCAAACTTGCGACGCGATATCGCCAGATTTCAGCCAAGTCGCGGCGATATCGCTGGAATAGATATGGCCTAAGAAAACGCGGTTAGCGATCCGTCGCGCCGGACAGCTAGCACGACCGACATGCATAATTTGCCGGCATGAAATAGGGTGTATGGCAGTTGTCCGATTGCACAAATCGCATCGCGGTGATTTTTTTGACGATATGGCCAGGGCTTAACATGTAGCCACCAAAACAACATGGCAGTGTGGAGTTTATGCTCTGCGGTTCATGTTCGTGTAGCCACAAATGTGCAAATTTCTAGGTATCTGCGCGTGGGCGTCAGTTTTGGGACAATTCAAATATGAATTTGACCATCTATGGCTATGCTAATTAGTGGAAATATAAAAATCGTATGTGTGCGCACTCATGCACTTTACGCCCCTTTTGTTTTCTGGAGCACGATTTGTCGGAAATTTATAATAAATCTGGCTCCCCTTCATAGAATGTTATTGATTACCACGATAATCCGTTGCAATAATGTGCCAGGTGAGGAATGGCAGACGTCGATTTTGGCATCATCATCAGCATTTAACATATGTCTAGAGCAAGTCTTTCAATGTTACCTAATCAATCTAAAATTCAATATTCTTCTGCTTGAATCCGGCTCAGACTTTCATCTGACTTCCTGATACGTCGAGGCTAACAGCGAAAAGGTTTCATCAGCACGGTGCTGCGTGTTGCCAACAATGTTGCGTGTTGCCAAAATGTTAGCGCTTCGTAGGTCATAGACACAGAGGGGGTAGCAGCATAGTGGAGTGGACGACAGCTTGCTTATGATGAGCTGGTGGGTTATTTTTTGTACGGAAAGATAGCGACATGCTAATTGCAAGCCCACTTTTTGTGCAAACGCCAGCACACGTTATTTCTACAATAAAATGTCTTGGCACGTCGACTGAAGGACTTGTACAACGATGTCATAATTATGATAGGCATTCAGTCTTAGCGTCTCGCCTGTCACTAGCGCAGCGTAATCAGCATCTTACATGATCGTTTGGCAAGACCCTTATTTGTGCTGCCGTACGCCTTCAATGGAGACGTTCTGATGAATGTTGCGTGTGATAGAAACACTCACATCGAAACATCCCACCGTATTTCGAGTTGCTCAGAAGCAATTGAACAATGCTCTCACACACTATTTGTGCAGACCTGAAACCACTTATCATTTTGAAACTACATCAATCTAAGTGACTGCAGAAGCATGCGGATGGTTGTGTGTGATGTAAAAAGCACTAGATAGTGACTGATGAGCGCAACGATTGAATACAGGGGCGTTCGCATTACAAATGCTGACGCATTTTGAAGCAAAGAGTGATGACGCTTCAGAGAGAATTAATAGTTAGAGTGCCCCCGTCGTTGATCATTTTAAGTGAGTACATTTTGTATGCCTATACATTTCCATCTGTCCCCCTACCTATCTGCTTCATCCGCTTGCACAACGTCCGCTACAAAACAAAGTAACTGTCCTTCGTGGAAACTACCTGACCATAATAGCTTCAGTAACTGACCGAAATTCTCTTTTAATCTTATACGCAAAAATTTCCTCTTCCTATTGACCGCTCCTACATGGGAAAGCTCATGGAATGAGTATTTACAATTCTTTCATGATGATCAGCATCGCACGACGAGTTCCAGAGCAAACATCATGCAAGCAAAAGGAAGGCATATGGATAGAGGAGCCAGTGCGAGCGTCTGCGAAGCACACTGCCATGTACAAAAAGTGGAAACTCCGACTACCCACTTTTGGAGGAAGCATTTTTGCTGCATGGCTGCGACCAGAATATGTCCGCCTTTTTGCCGCATAAGCCCTCAGCTATGAAAGGCGGGCACAAACAAATACTTGCTGACTTTTCGCGGCAAAACGACCTAGCATCGCGGCAATCGTTTGCCATCGCATCTGCACAGCTCACACGAGGAAGTACCGCTCGCTGAACGTTTGGCCACACCCCAAAATTATGCTGACCGTTTGCAGAAAACCGCGAGCATAGGTGCGATAGGGGGAGCCGGGCTCTCCCCAGGGAAGGGGGTCTCGGCTGTTCCCGACCTTCCAGGGTGAAGGGGGTATGTGAGTCTGGGGGGGGGGGGGGGGAGGAAGAGAGAAAAGGTAAAAAAGCGTGGTATGAAGAGCTCTGATTTGTACCTTATTTAGGCACAAGCTGAAAAAAATTAAAAAATTTTATAAGAAATCAAAAATTTTCAAAAAAATTGACTTTATGAAGATCTGTGCTCCTGTTTCATTCCCTCAACAAAAAACGAAAGCATTAAGGTTATCCCAAAAGATGTAGTTAAGAACAACTTCAATTCCTGCACATCATCATCAACAATATCACTATCGCTAACGTCAGAGACAACAAGTTTGCTGCCTAAAAAATCTTCTTCTTCCTCCAAAAAGTCATCGAAGTAGAAGTAGAATTGCGTGCAAAAGCGTTCTGAGTCGAAAATGGATTTGAAACTTTCTTCTTCTCTTAAGCGCTTTTGTGATTTTTTCCTGGCCCTTTGGTAGCACCAGGAAAGTCAGCAGGTAGGTGACCAATTTCTTCATACCATCTTTTAGGATATTTCAAAAAGTCATACGGTAACAGCCTGTCTGGACTACTTATACCAATCCTTTGAATGAAGTTTTTAGATAACAATATGTTTATTAGAAGGTTACAAGCCTTAAGTAATTGCTTAGATGCTCCATCGTTGTACGACTTCTGCGTTGTGTTCTGATAACAGAGTAGATAGAAAATTCCTTACTCCACCTCTGCCGTGCTAGTCGGAATGGAAACTAGCTTTGTTAGTAAGTCCATCAGATTTTTGCGGTATGTAATGGGAAAAGAGCCAGATCGCATATGCTTTCGCAACACGGAAAGGAAGTATTGCATACTTTTTTGGGCCTTGTCGAACTCTGGCTTCACCTCCTCTGGCATACGTCCTGTTGCTGATGAGAAAGCTGCTCAACTTCTTCTTTAACAGCATCTGCGGAATAGCCGAAAAAAGTAGATACTATGCTGCGCGTTGTTTTTTTCAATATCATAGGTCATAATGTCACAAGGTGAATAACTTCCAAAAGCATAAAGCACAGAGTTGGGTCCGCACTCCAGTGGGGATCTAAGAGCAGTAGCTATGCTTTGCACTAACACCTTGCTTTTGTTCATATCCATGTTTGCGAATTTAACAGCCTTGAAATCTTCAGCAACCTGAAGATCAGCAATGGACTTCCTGGACATTTCCTCATTGAAACTAGGCAATCTGCTTACATTCCTTATGTAGGAAATCAGAGAATTTCCAATTGTCAACTCTGTATCAATGTCGACAACATTTTCGTCGGCGTGAAATTCTCCTTCTGCCTCGCTGTGGAACTGGAACACATGCGAGTCATCTGCGATTTTGTAAAGTATTCTGCCTGCCGTTTCCTCTTCAAACTGCCAACCTTTCCAAAATATTGAGGGATATTTTAATAACATGTTATTCTACTGAGTTTCTTAAAGTTTTTAATTCATTGAAACCAACCATTCTCTACAAATTAGGTAAGGTGAGTCTAGAGCGTTTTCACGAAAGTGACCTTCTTCAGCACTAGGTTTACAGAGTATAGATTCCAGAAATGGGCGGGTTTTTGTGTGAAGGTGTAGAAATTCACCAATCTCCCATAGTTTTTTGAGTGTGTGCTAATAATGATGGCATAACTGTCAATCAAAAGCGCATCTTTTACCAAAAAAACATGAACATATAACAACGATAAGCACGCTTAAATAGACGCGTTCGCCCACGTTCCCGTTAGTGCTGATAACGATGTCAATCCACAGTACATTTTTTACGATTAACTTGCTCCACCTCGCTCTTATTAGGTCGTCCCGAAAGTTTTTGCGCACGATTTTCAAAAATTCATAATTTCTGATTTTTCCAACCGATTTGACTGCTTTCACTTTTTTGTGAAAGGGTAAGTCATGCTCTTTATAATGACACCTCAGCTGCTTATTAATGTTCATCTGTTGCATAGATAGGAGCGATAGAAGAAAATCGGTCAAAATTCGAATTTTCTGTGTAGGGTCTTAAAAAATCGGAGACTTGCAACAAAAATCGGAGCAGTCAGTACTGTAGGTTTTTTCACCTGCTCTTTCTAACAGTGCAAAGTCTGCGCCGATTGAGCATCTCTATGAAAAGTTATGATTTCCCTGAAAAATGCCAAAATAAACCAAATTCGCCCTTTCGTATTGCTTGCTCGAAAATCATAACTTTTCATAGAGACCCTCAATCAGCGCAAACTTTGCACTTTTAGAAAGAGCTGGTGAAGAAACCTACAATACTGACTGCTCCGATTTTTGTTGCAAGTCTCCGATTTTTCATGGCCCTACACAGAAAATTCAAATTTTGACCAATTTTCTTCTATCGCTCCTATCTATGCAACAGATGATCAATACTAAGCAGCTGAAATGTCGTTATAAAGAGCATGACTTACCCTTTCACATAAAAGTGAAAGCTGTCAAATCGGTTGGGAAAATCAGAAGTTATGAATTTTTGAAAATCGTGCGCAAAAACTTTCGGGACGACCTATACAATGTGTTGGCTTTTATGGGTCACCGGAGCAAATGATTTTTAGAGCCGGGAAGCAAAAAAGCCCTACCATGCTTTATATCATTCGAAAGCTGAGATCATGCAGAATCGACATAGACCGTCGTCTTTTTTCTAGGTCTTCTGTGCCGCGAGATATGAGGGATTTTATGTGCTTCAAAAATTGACTGATTTTGTATCCTCACTTTCTGCTCTCCAAATGAATGCTACGAGAAAGTCGACGGTCTACCTTTGTTAATGAAGACTTGCTCTTTAACATAGATAGATAATCAGCAGTGATTTGGTCTTCATTTGGCAGAAATCTGCCGTTGAAAATGACCATGTTTTCAGATAAAATGCGGTGTATCTCTCTTTAGAGGGGGGCTAGAAAGAAGTCGACGGTCTAGATCGAATCCCCTTTTCCTGAGCTTTCGAATGGTATATAGGTAGCTGGGCGAAAAAACTAACCAGTTTTCAAAAATGGGGTGGAGATATTTACTATTAGCTTGCTCCAACCCAGCTCCACCAATGTATTGGCTTTTATCGGTTACCGGAGCAAATGATTTTTAGAGCCAGGAAGCAAAGAAGCCCTAACATGCTGTATACCATTCGAAAGCTGAGATCATGAAGAATCGACTTGGACCGTCGACTTTTTTCTAGGTCTTCTGTGCCGCGAGATATGAGGGATTTTATGTGCTTCAAAAATTGACTGATTTTGTATCCTCACTTTCTGCTCTCCAAATGAATGCTACGAGAAAGTCGACGGTCTACGTTTGTTGATGAAGACTTGCTCTTTAACATAGATAGATAATCAGCAGTGATTTGGTCTTCATTTGGCAGAAATCTGCCGTTGAAAATGACCATGTTTTCAGATAAAATGCGGTGTATCTCTCTTTAGAGGGGGGCTAGAAAGAAGTCGACGGTCTAGATCGAATCCCCTTTTCCTGAGCTTTCGAATGGTATATAGGTAGCTGGGCGAAAAAACTAACCAGTTTTCAAAAATGGGGTGGAGATATTTACTATTAGCTTGCTCCAACCCAGCTCCACCAATGTATTGGCTTTTATCGGTTACCGGAGCAAATGATTTTTAGAGCCAGGAAGCAAAGAAGCCCTAACATGCTGTATACCATTCGAAAGCTGAGATCATGAAGAATCGATTTCGACCGTCGACTTTTTTCTAGGTCTTCTGTGCCGCGAGATATGAGGGATTTTATGTGCTTCAAAAATTGACTGATTTTGTATCCTCACTTTCTGCTCTCCAAATGAATGCTACGAGGATAAATAAATAATATAAATAAACATAAATACCGTTTCTTTTGTAAATTTATGAGTGTACTTGTTGTTTGAAGTACTTAGCCTGCAAAACCTTTTAATAACGATTTTTATCATTTTCTCAGAGTACAATACCAATCTCAGCCCAGGTGAAGGGGGTCATCGGGATTTTGGCCTCAAAGTGAAGGGGGTAAGATTCATCACTCCCCTTATCACAACTATGACCGCGAGTCGGACCGCCTGCCCCCGACGATTGTCTGAGCATGTGCACTGTAGTAGTTTAAGCCCCACCTGCCAATTCATGCGTTAAGTCTTGTAAAGGCGCTTTAACCGCCACTGAAGCCCACGTGGCAAGGGCGTGGCTGATAGAAAATTGAAGCTTCTTTCAGTTTGGGGCTATGATTCATTGCGGGATCACTACCTAACACCAACAAAATTTGACAAGAGTCCATTTGCCGAGCCATTGCCTCTAAACCTTGAACTCCATCCACGCCACTTAGTTACAGCCCTAAGAAGTTTTAATGGCGGCAGTCCTGTTCCTTCCGAGAGATAGCGCGCGCCGGACATGCTGCATGCCGCCAACTTGGAAAATGTCATTTGTTCAATGTCTGCTTAAAAATGAACTTCTATAAAAACTGTATTCAGAGCCTGCTTAGAGTTTTTCTTGTAATCTGTTCTACTCATCTTACTGTTCATTTATGAGCACAAATTACCCTTTACTTCAACCAGATCGGCGGCTGGAAGGCGGGGCTTCATGACTTAGGTGGCGACTGCTCGCGTCCACGACGTCGTCTGCGCCTCCTCGCGGACATGCCCTTGATCATTTTCTAGCCTAACTAGGCCATGCAGCCCCAACTTCCAGCCGCCGATCTGGGTGAAGCACAGCACCTCATAGAGGATTTCGCACTTTTTCCGAAGTGTCCATTACCATCTCACATCGAGTCCCGAATTCGATTTAAAGAAAAGCGAAGTAAAATCCAATTTGCTAACCATTTTTCCCCTTTTTGTGCGATATCCATTTTACTGTCAAATCTTTATCTTACCTACCACTATTTCAAGTAAGAAAGGCATGAAAATCACAATTGATGACAAATAGGATGAGAAATTACAACATACAATGGAATTCGTTTGAAATGAGATTGTATTTGATTAAAGCAACTATGGCTAAGAGTGCAAAAATGGCTATTGCGATGGCCTTGAAATTCATCAGGTAAATACTGTTCAGACAGATATGTAAGTAGTCCAGCTAACAAAAAAAAAACAGAAATGAACGTAAAAATAAGCACCCATGCTGGATTTTCGGGGAAATTATCTGAAACAAAAAACGATTCAATCAAAGCATCAAAACAAGACAAGCGAAAGAAAAACATAGTGATGCTCTCAAGCAGAATGACTAGAACATTGCTGACCAGAAATGAAGGCACTAAAGTCTCGGAAAAAATAGAGAGCGATAAGCTTTTTCCAAAGGGAGTAAAGTGATACTATGTAACAAGATAATTTACATTGATATGTGCTTAAAAGTGATCTATCGACTTGATGCTGACATTACTAGAGCTCTGCTGCGAGGAGTTTTGTTCCTTATCTTTACTTTTGAATCGAAACACTGGAAAGCTCCACTTTCCGCGCCTTTTGTCCTTCTCCGAGGATACAGTGCCGTTTTGAGACGGAGACATGGAACTGTAAGGAGCTTTCTTACAAATTCACGATAGATAAGGCAAGGGAACTAACTCTGCACTGTCCATGCTGTCCTGTGACTGGAACGCGGAAAATTTCCGACTAGCTATAGTGCTAGCAGGGGTCGGTGAATCAAGCGAGGTTCCAGCTCGAGATGCGACCTCCCTTGGTGCGGATGCAGATGTCGTCAGCCCTGTGGGAGAGGACAGCGAGTCAAACGAACGCAGTTTGCGATCTTTCGAACGTAATAGTGGTGCCATTCGGCTGGACTGCAAAAAAGCTCACATATCCTGCACTCAGCCCATTACAGCTACACAAATAATAACATCCTTGAGTCATAGAGATAAGTAGAGCGATAGATGCATACCGTGGCTTCCTTGAGATTTTGGCGAATAGAAATAGTTTCGAAATAAGGGGTATAGTGTTACACGCTTTTCGCGTTGACTAAACAAACTGGCCACAATTTTCTACTTCAGCATGGCGTGTGCTAAACCTAGTATATCGGCTCCCAAGAGAGTGAATAGAGTGGGATTGAGGCGTCCACGAAAGTCCGTACCAAATCTACAGTCGCGCTACAAATTTTGCCTTATCATTGTATATTGATCGCGGAGAATAGTGAAGGTGCCAACTGGTTCCGTCCGAACCAAAATACACGGTGGGTACATGGGTCATCCTCGATGGATGGCCAGTTGGGAGCAACTGAGAGGGAGGCATACTTGTTGACCGTGACCGGTTGCAGTGAGATGTATACCAGCAAACGCACTTGAAATGCTGATTCCAAATCTCTGTTCACTATCTGCCGCTACTCTGTGATTGAAGTTTTGGACTTTTCCCACGTTAATTTTGAGAAATCTATGCAGTCAAAATCCAGGCTTTTGGATTCGGATTTATCAGAGACAGTTTTCCTGAGCTCAACGAAAAGCTTTTTTTATTTGAACATTCTTGTGTACTTAGGTGACCATTCCCAACGATAGTGGTGGATCCTATCATCAAAACAGGGAAAAATTTCGGTGGAAAGAAATGTCTTTTGCAAGAGCATACCGAAGGCGAGGAATCAGCGCTTCAGGATTTATTTGTGGTGCACGTTCCATTTCAAAAAGCCACGGTCACCAAGTGACCTTTCCTTTTGAACCTCTCTTTTCAGAGATATGTCAATCTTACTTCTCTGCGCCTGATTTAACTTTTGAGTAGTCGAACGGCATGCTGTTCTGGTCTATGGAAATAATCTCACATCTACTTATTGAAGATTTCACTGACCTGCAGAACAGTATGCGCTGACCGAATCAACGTCGAGTCATCAATTTTGATCATCTGAACGTCGACTAGCAGAGCAGACAGCTCCAACTCTTCACTGAACTGGTTAAGAAGTGGGACAGAACGAAATCCTGCAAGAAAAATCACTATGAACAGTTCGCAGAGCTTGCGGTACGGGTTTTACCACATCTGATGCAGTCCAGAGGAAAAACAGCCTGCCCAATGAACGGGTCAGTCTTAGGACCAACGAAATCTCCATCCTCAACATGAAATCGTAGCAAAGCCATCTCGGGACACATAATGTCGAATACGGCTGTTTGATTCCAAGTTGGGTTAAGACCATTCGATGCTAAAAATCTACCTTGAATTTAACCAAGTAACTCAAGAGGACCGAAATACCGATAGTCCTAGTTTTGAAAAGTTTCTCGTCACATGGCAGTCCGATGATCTCCACTTCCACAAATGGCGAACATATTCCCTTGTGTTTATCACGTCGTGACAGATGTCGTCCTGCGATCACCTGCACTGTCAGCCGCACTGGGCAGGATCTAGTGACCTGAAAATTTTGAAGGATACCAAGAGATTGACAGAACAAGTGGAGAAGAGAGAGAGCAAAGGGGGAGTGAAAGGACATACCGCTTCACCATGTGCAGGATCAAAATCCTGATCGATCATGTATTCCGGTTTCAAGACATATCCACACCTTCCATTACCCATGAATTTACCCTGATTCAACTGCATTGGTTTGTCACCCGTCTGATAGTTTAGAGCTACCTGAAAAATTGCTGATGAATTTGGTGGTACGAAAAGGCATATAACTATAGCTACCATATGACAACCCGCATTCCACATGGGTACCGGATTATAGTTCGCGGAAGTGATGCGAGAACCATGTGGATAAACCCGTGAAAGCTGTCGAATGTTGAATGAGACCAAGCCCTAAAGAAAGAGTTACTGATTAGTTAGCGAATGAAGATCAGTATACCATATAGATAAGAAGTGATCTGGATTGTTTATGTAAATTTTTTTGGTTTGTAGGATACCTTCTCAATCAATCTCTCTAATTTGTTCTCCACGAATGAACACATCTCGTAAAATGATCCCGTTTGGACATGGGTTGGATCGAAAGGGACTGCCTGGCAATACACCTGAAAACTTCGGTATTTCAATTAGCTATAGTATAGAAAACTGCTCAAAACACTCCGACCATATTTGCGCATTCATCAACACAGTCGCAAATCTCACGGGTAAAGGATACACCGAGTCCCACTGGAGTTCAACATGGAGGTTTACATTACTATGGTTCCTTCCGTACACCATCAACATATCCGCTTTTCAAATCTGCGCAACGGTTTTGTGATAGGAGTTACGGGTCCCCGTTTCCACGGGTTTTGGATTGTGTAAAGACGAGTATGAATCATTAGGCATCATCTGCGGCAGACAAAATTTCCGGAACATTGTCTTAACAAAACTACCGATATTTGTTGTAGATGATTGCCAAATAAAATATTGCCATTTGCAAAAAAAAAACGCAAAAGCGATGGGTACCGACAGAATTTGAACCCGGTACCTTGTGGCTGTAAGCCATATATGGCACTATAGTATGCTCTCCCAACTGCATTATCAGCGTTTTTACCAATAATGCATCGTCAGGGCTCGGCACAGCTGCCACCAGATCAAGCTGCAGCTATCGTTTATGGGACGGAAAGCAAATGAAATATCTTTTTTGGTCGAAAAGACACGAAAAAAGCGACGGTTCGAAGTCGACGCTTCGTTTTTTCAAAGTGTATGCGGTTAGGGTTTAGGGTCGAAGGGGACTTCGTTTTGAAAGTTCCTAATGTCAGCTCGTGCCGAGGCCTGTGCATCATTACTTGTACTCGTGTCTGTTCGAACTTAGAAAGGGCAAAACCTCTACATCCACTAGTCCATAACTTCCTTCACAAATCGCAGATTTAGAAAGTAATTTCATTATCAGTGTCGTGAGGAGACCTTAATGATGTACATTTCCTTGCTAAGCCAGAGAGTCTCGCTAACCTTCACATGTCAGAAAAAAGTTTAGCCTTTCATACCAGAAGAGGTAAAGTTTGAAATCATTAGCAACCAACCACCAAATTAGATAACTCCGCTGCAATCCTAGCGCTCTTTTCCTTTATCCGCAAAACGCTGATTTTGTCATTCACAGAGCGAGTGAGGTCCCATAGTTGATTTTGCCAATCGTCGGCCTCTTCCAGGGCTAGATGAGCAGAACAGATACCTCGTAAATAGCCGAAGGACGCATTATGACTCACATCGAGCCGCAAGCAACCATTGCTGTCCGCTCCACTGTTGTGCACTATGGGATATTTTGATGACGTGCTGCTTCTCAGCATCAGTCACCCGTTCGATCACTGTTCCAGCCAGTTCTATGGTGTTGTAGTTGCTCGCGACTGAAGCATACGGACTTTGTGGAGATTTGTGCCACTCTAAGAATTCTTACCTCCAGTAGGGGTAGTTTTCTCAGGCAGAATCTCTTGCACATATGACGCAGGGAACCAACCAACCGACGAACCATAGCGACCTAATTCGTAGAGCATTAGCACCAATCAAGTAAGAATATTTATTCGGAACTCTCTGGGATTGCACCTGTGTAAGTAACGTCTTTTGGCTAGTCTACTGTGACGAAAAACAATGACAAAATCATCCGTCATTGATGAGAGCATGTTACTCAAAATAAAACTCTCTTACTCTCAAAATAATTATCAAAGATGTTTTCTGATTTGATTTGGCGTTTTTTTTTCACATCAATACAATGTAGTTCTTATAAGGGAAGGCTGTTTAGTCGAAGTGGCCTTTTGGGATCGAACATATACCATCTTGAAGGGCATAAAACCTGATTCAAATCGCTGCTTTCCTTATCCACAGAGCATTCCTGCGCAAAGGAGTTATGAGCATTTATTTGGAGCAAAAAATCGAATGTGTAAATAGAATATAGTCGTAACGTTTTTCTAAGCTCTTGATTGGAGCAGCTATAATTATCAGAACACTTCAAGCAATAAATATTTTTAGATAAATTATATCCACACACTCCATTGCCTCACTTAAGCGTTAGGGAGATTTTAGCAACAGATTGTATCCTAGAAAATTATTCACTTTTTATTCCCAAAAATACTCATAAGTTCCCGTCCTTAAATGCTCAGCAATTAAGGAAGATGGACACCTTTATGCCCTTCAAGATGATATATGTTCTGTCTCAAAAGGCCACTTCGACCAGTCATCCTTCCCTTAGTGAATCCCACGTCATAAAATGGGAGATGGGTTGTGATCAAAGACTACATTCACCAAAACTTCCAGGAAGGACCTTCGCTTTGCAATTCATCAAAATACGGAAACCTTTCTCAACACTAATTTGGAGAAAAGAACAGTTAGGCGAAAATTTTTCTGAGACCTTATTCCAAAAAAGAGCATCTCGAGACGAAATCAGAACTGTCATTATCGTACCTGTCCACAGTGCTTCTTCCTTGCGAAGTACGGTAATGATAGCATTAGCAGGGAAAGAGAGGTCATCATCTCCGTTGCCTCGGTAAGGTCGTAAAGCGCGGGCCATTACCTAAAGTAGATGGATCCAGTTATTAACAGAGTCAATTCAAGTATTCAAAAATTTGCGAAAAAAATTATTTCGGGCCAAAAAAGAGATAAATGTAATTTCGTTACAGTAATGTAATGGGAAGTTTAGAAAAACGGTTTTTTGTAATAAAGGCAAGAGCAGATAGATAGTTGCAACTCAATCGTCAGAATGCCTAACCTTCTCCTCTAGTTGTGATAGTTCCTGGTAACTTCCTCGGGCTATTTCTAGATGTGCAGGGATTGAAGGGATCTCTTTTTCGTTTACCTAAATTCAAATTAACCTCGAGAAGAGAAAAATCTAAAACATCTCAGATTGTATGTAAAAAGAACTAACCGGGAACCTCAAAGATATCCCGCGCACAAACTCTCGGGAACGATAATACTCAACAATTTGGTTGAGATTCTCGAATACTGTTTGGTTCACGACAAAAATACGTCCATCACGTTTCAGGCGATAATGCCAAATTTCGCCGTCTACTCTGCAAAGAATTTGTTACTACCGGAAAAAATTTCGCTCACGAAGGACAAACCTTATGGACAACACGAAGACGCTCTTGTCACTGCTGGAATACCGCAAGAGGAATGCTCCATCTTCTGGGACTTGACTCAGGAGAGCTTCCGCTTTTTCCTTGTCAGCCGTGGTGGAGAACCACCTGAATTCCCAAGATTTAAATGTTTAAAATTTTTTACACAGCAAGATTGAATAACTCTGAGGTGAACTCACGGCTGATCCAGGTGAGGCTGAGGCTGCGGACAGGGAGTGGTGAGTACCATTTTGAACGTGGGAGTGGTCAAATAGTGCCTAGTATAATATGACACGAGCTCGTACAGTGTATCACAAACTTTATTATCCATGAAATAGTATTTCTTCTCTTCTAAACCAACAACTTTGCTTCTACAACCATGTACGGAAAGGAACCGCTCACTATCGATGATCCTTGTCTTGATGCGCACGTGATGCACTTTCCCATCATGTAGGATGGTGAGTGAATAATCGCCGATGAAGAGGTTGGAATCGCGAATCATAAAAAGGCCATTTCCTTTGTCTTTATGTTGAAGAATGCGCTCTTTGGCTTCCTGGAAAGCACGACCGAATGTTGCACTTTGAGGATTGTGACTATCCACGTTTCAGATGAAAGGAGAAAAGGAATTGTCTACAACAGCGCGCTTTGCACGAAGATTGCGATCATCAAAATTATACCTATTCGAATCGAGGAGCGGTGGGCCTGCACGCCAATGAAATTCTAGAAGTGTTGAGGCCGTTCCGAAAGTAATTTTGAATTTTTTGAGTGAGCGCCACAACCGTCACAATGGAGACTTACCCGTAGATTCAACAAGATTTTCGGCTGAAAGAGACTGCTCGCGTCCCGACGCAGTCTGCCGTCTCTCTCGCGAACGTGCTTTCTGCTCATTCCCTAGCTTTAATTAGGTCGCGAAGCCCTGCCTTTCAGCCGCCAATCCAGTTGAATCAAAGAGTATAGACGAGTCTAATCGTGTGGCAGCTTTAGTTCCTCCTTCTAGAAGTTATGTTTGCACACTGACTCTCAGTGCTTTACAGAAAAGTTTCAAAGTTTCTAAAAGGCTACCGCTAACTAAATTCCACCATTTTCAAAAATTTCTGTTACTGATTTTGACCAGAGAACAGTGACGCGCAGATAGATAGAACAAACTCAGAGTACATGAGCTTTTTTTTCAGGCTTCTGGCTAAACACTTCCGATATGGCGACGTTTTTTTGCAAAAACCACAAGTGCGAAACGGTGGCAAAAACCATGGGTTGTAAATTCTGGTCGTATTCTCAGACCTCGTTGGTTGAGCTGTATTGAAAAACAGTTTGAAAGAGGATAAAAAGCTGCATCGAATGCAACCGAAATTTCACAAGAATCCCTGTTCTGCGAAATTTGACGCTCGTTGAAAAAAAGCGTAATTGCTCGGAACGACCTATTGTATCGCTTATTCATCAGCTGCACGGATTGACCGTCATTGCGACGCACGCAACGCGCGGTGAATACTTAATTCAGTACAAATCGCAATGGTACACATCGCGCTCTCGCGATGTTTTAGCCTCGCGTCATAACTATCACATGCACTGCCAATACGTGTAGTCAATGAATAGAAGATATGAAATGTGGTGTAAGCATACAAAAAATGTCCACATTTCCGTTTTTACAGAAAAATTTTTGTCCATTCCTTTGGCAAATTATTTTTCAAATCTGATGTGCAGACGCTAAAGTTCAGTGTAGAGTGACAGCTGCAGGAAATAATGTTTTAACTTACATCGCGTTCACAATGTCCATGGAACCACTCTTCAGTTATATGCTGTTCTTCCGGACGTACGCCAAAACCTACTGGATTTTCTTCCTAAAACCACCGGGTCTTATAAAAACACAAGTTTCTGGCAGATGACCCACACCTCTCTATCGTCGTCACCTATCATGCTGATGGTATCGTCCTTCATCGTAGTCTCATCGCAGTCTTGTAAAAGATAGCATAACCGGTCAGGAAAGAGGATGAAGACATGCGAGTTCCACTCCTGAAGTTTATGAGGATACTAGGAAATGAGAGATTACCACCGACATGAAAAACTAACGTGCTTGACGCTGTCAAAAAGCGATAGAACACCTTTCTTTATACATTCTCTCGCCAGAATATCCGTGTCCTGGACTGAAACCAAGCCTATTACGTATTTTTCTTGAAAAATTTTTTTGAACAACGGGCTCACATTCATCGGTGCTAGCGCTCACAAAGGTGGCCAAATCCTCGCTTTCAATCGGCAACTTCTTATGCTTGAGAATGATCTTTTTCTTGAGTGCAGCTGGGGATGGCAGTTCTGTTTCGGATGCACTAATCTAGAAAAGTTGTTTTGTCAGCTTTACATCGCTCTCTTCGTCACCAAATTACCGGCTGGGTAAGCAGATCGTCCCCTAGAATTTCCTTAACTTCTTGTGCTAACAACCGCTGAGCCGGAACTGAGCAATTATCCTCGATCGAAAGAATCACAGGATAACTAAAATATGCAAGTAATTATTTTACTAGTAATTTGATTCTTTTCTAGCAGGAATACGCTTATGTTGGGCATTTATCTTCTGAACATTTCTATAATAAAAAAGTGTTAGTTCTGCGCATTTTTGACCTGACAAAAAATTACTGGAGATTTGCTCCCTCACCTTTCAAATCGGCTCCCATAAATAATATGCGCAGATTCACATCGAGGTTCTTATATAAACATAATTTCTCAGAAAATGCATATAAACAAAACTGAACTCCACTGCAGTGCTGTGCAGTAATTTTGCGACCTACTTCAGGGTTGTGATGAATTCACATACTATGAACAGAAGTTTGCCCCGTAAGTTTCTAGCGCTTGTATAAAGCAACAAATGAAAGTTACAGCTGTAGCGGTGGAATCCGGCCGAAATTGCGGGATTTGCGATATTTAATTATAACTTTTTTCAAAACAACTTTATTTGGAATCTGCAAGAAGATGTGACTTTCGCTTTATGAGACGAATCTTTTAGTATACATCACTCCTATAGTCCATGGTGATACGGTAGACATACGATACTACGTTAATTTCAAAATTTGTTCTTATGAGCAACATACATGTTAATGATCTCATAACACATGTCAATACAATACAATGCACCATGGAACGGGCAAAATGTATACTAAAAGGTTCGTCTCATCAAGCTGAGGCCAAATCTGCTTGCAGATTCCAAATAAATTTGTTTTAGAAGAAATATAAGTAAATCCTACAAGTCCCACAAATCTCGCAAATTTGGCCGGATCCCACCGCCATAACTGTAGAAAACAAGAACCAGGCAATACAATATGTATAGCGCACCACCTTCCGCTACCCTGCGCGAAGCTATCCATACCGCATTTACGGAAGGTAGTTGGGCTGTCCTATGGAAGTCATTAAATATCGCTCGGAATCTTCTCCAAATCGAAACAATGCCGTTTATGCGGTTGAAAAGCAGCAACAGATGAATGATAATCTGATAGTGCAAAATCTCTGATACACTGGATCCCCTAATCAACCTTGCAGAACAGTTTTGAAATGTCCTCTAGGGTAAAACGCCATGCTTTATTGATAGTAGGTATCCTGATTGTTACTGGAGGCTTTGCTAATGTCCGATTACACTGCAGTTGGGTAGCGCACAGACTATAGTCATCCTCTTGTTCTGGCAATGTTCAGTGCGGTCACCCTCCAATTTTACAAAACGCTAGTCACTGTCGATCAGATGAGGGCCCGGTTAACTCGCGGCTGTGGCGTTTCTCCTATAGTACGTCATCCATTTTTTCCTTTGTCTCAATGTACAAGCCATATTTTTCATTATATTAGGTTGTCCCGAAAGTTTTGTCCGTTTTTTCAAACCACCATAAAACCACGTACAATAAACGCGTGAATGAGTTTCGACACGCATTCGCAGCTTTTCCTTCTGTTTCTTACAGACACATTTCCGTACTACAGCTCTGTATGCTTTTTCTGATAACTACCAGAATGTAGTATTATTAGATTCTCCAATCTGCTGTTTTTTGCTCCAAAAACATTATTTCTTCTGGGGTCTCGCTCTTTGAAAAGTCATGAAACACGCAGATGCAGCAAAAGCACGAAAACCTTTGTAATTTTCGCGGATTGAAACATGATTTTTATTAAACGTTATTTGTCCAACATAACCAAGTTTAGTTTGCTTTGAAAAGCAGCTCTTTGGAATTTTCGTTTTTTACATGGTAAAAGTAACAAAAAGTCGCGGTTTTTATTTAAATAAATAATTATAACGGACTTGGTAAACGTGACCCAGCTTTGCTCTACATAACAATTACCAGCGCTCTTCGAAAAGTTCATAATAAAAATTTTTAGAAGTTAGGAAGGATTTGGTGTTATCTGCTGGCTGCCTAAAAAGCCATGGCGATAACATTGCAAAGACAGGGTAGATCAGAGAGCAAATATGGCTGTAAGAAAGAGGACAAAAGTACGAATTAAATGGTACCTCGTCCGTGGATCGGTGTTCTGTAAGTTTTAATGAGCGATGAAAAAAACGGACAAAACTTTCGGGACAGCCTTATACTTTTAAAGGCTATGTAAAGAGCGCTAACTATACGCAAAAAAACAGTGTCGCTGGAAATGATTCTTTTCGCCTTTTTGGAAATCGGAAGATTAAAGGGAAGCAGCCTTTTATTGAAAGTAGCGAGCCTAATCAGATAAATATTTCTTTCTATTGGTATACGCGTCTTTCCGCAATCCGACCGCCCTTTAAAAAAGTGAGGAAGTGAAAAAACTTTGCACTGAACAACCTAATGTGAAATCAACTGGAGACTTACACGCTAGTTAGAAATGCGTAATGTTTGATAACGTAGAGCACATCCCGAAGCAAAAGCTTCGAAGTCATTGTGTAGCCATGATAGATGACAATATCCTGAAACTCTTGAGAGTTGGGCTTACGTTGTCCATCCCAGCAGTCCACTGTAACAAATTTATTATCGGTATAATCTTCGCAGATATTGCACGATAGATAGATTTTAAATTTATGAAGTTTGCAGACTGTTCTCCTCGTGTTTGTATAGCAATATACTTGAATATCGAAGGATTACGGCTTGGCTGTGAAACCAATCCGTAAACCATCGATACTGAAGTATTGCTTCTTCTATAAGAAAGCTATCAACCTTTGGGCGACTAGTACGAAGAAGTGCTCGGATGTTTTAGTTTAAATGCATTTTCGGCTTTCTACAAAATTTCCTTATAAGCACTGGAAAAGCGCAGTAGAATAAGAATGGATGCCGTCTTCTTACTATTTTTAGACATTACTAAAGGTTCATTGCAGGCACAATTTGTAATACAAGGCAATCTTTGAGTTAGGATTTGCAATTTTTGCTAGCGCGATTATTCAGAAACAGAAACCAACACTCACACTCTATACATCGGCAGCCTAAGAGGAGAGCTTGAGCGTATGAATCTAGGGACGACTCTGAACGCAGTTGATCTCCCGTCAAATACCTAAAACATCAGAACTTCCACACGTACTTGAAGAGCCTGACAATTTAGTTGTAGACGATTCAGCGCACGCAAAGACAAGGTGTCACTAAAGACGCGGTCGCTTCTCGCTGTTGGAGAGCTCTTTCATCCCCTTACCGTCTGCTGTTTCTCCCATTCACGAACTATCTTAGTCGGACGCAACGACGTCCAGTCCGTGCGTCCGATAAATGTCATATACAGTACTCACGTGTTGTGACTACTAGCTATCCAATAGTGCGAGAGAGGCCTGGTCATATCATGAATGACCTTCTCGTTCATTGAATCCCAAATTGAGTTTTCGCGCGAGAAGAGGAAATCACAGAACTGAAAACATTAGCAATCATCCTTCTCTTTCGAAGAAGAAGGTTGGAAAAAATTACCTCCATGACAGAAAGCGAAGGTTCTTCAGGTAACACTTCGTTGAGATACTCGTCTATGTTGAGAAATCGAAAATCAAAAATTTCAGAAAACAAAGTAAGAAAAAGCATATAATCACCGTTTTAAAAAGTCTATAACCCGTGCTCGATTTGAAATCATATCATCCCTTTGCATAGTTTCAAGAAACCGCATGAACCCATCAAAAGTGACGGTGGTGCCGTCTTGAGATAGTTCAGCAAATCTCGATGTAAAAAGCTGAAAAATGGAAAAATTTGCATAAAGTTCACACAGTGAGGACCTTTGTACTTACTGTATGCGAATGTATAAAATTTTTCGTGGCTTTTGTAAATTGTAAGAGATTCATTTGATCCTCAGTGACTTCTTGAAGCTGCCGTGAGGAAACTTTGTACTGTAGGGAGGTTTGTACAAATGGCTTCATATGCTTTCTTGCCACACTAAACCGATCACTTTGATGAGTGAAAAAGTTTACGGCATTTTCTGGCACTCACAACTCAGTCCCAGGAGTGACAAGATTGTAGAAGTGTTTAGCGATAAATCGCTCGATTCGAGCGGAATGACTTGAAGAGAAGCGATCCCGTGTGTCGAGCATCAGATTGTGAACTCCTTCGTTCCACATGCGGCATGCATCCGCGGATTCGACTAAATCGAGAATTATTGCGCAGAACGGAGCCCGGTCCCTCCTCATCAAATCAACTTTGAGGTCGAAATCTACTTTAAGAAGGTTATAGATTAATTTCTACCTCTAGGTAAATACCATATTATGAGCGTATACTGTGGTCGAGCAAACGGTTAAGCTGGTAATATAATTATCCAAGAATATCAATTTAATGTTGTTTATGCTCACAAAAAGACCATGCCTCGATATAAGACTGTATAAACAGGGTGTCCCAAAAAAATGTACCTATTGTTTGATTATTAATAACTCTCTTGTAATGAAGTCTTTCGAAAAGCTTTAGGTACCATTTCGTAGAGCAAGCTTCAGCTTAGATTTACAGCATAAAACGAATCACCCACCTTTCTCCATTATTGTAGGATTACGGCAGAAACTTCAAAGAGGGTTTTAGGCTATGAAAGGCCATATTTTGCCTCAGAAAGGAAACAAAACAGCCAGAGAACTTTCACACTAGGCCAATTAAAGTTGCTGATTTTGATTGTGAAGTTCGCAACTTATTATAATGCTTCACTGAAGAGTTATGCGACGTAAGCAGTAGCGCATTTTTTATATGTTCCTAAAAAGTGCGGTTACACCGTCTACAAAAACTCGCAATCTTATGAATAGTTGAGTATCTAAATCAGCGTCCATAAAAACCTTATTATACAAGTTTTCACATTTTTTTGAAAGCTTTTGGAAAGGCAGTTTTCCACAGTGACACATATGTTTCAAGTTTCTACCGTAATCCTACAGTAATGAAGAGTGGTTGGTGATTCGCTCTATACTGTAAATCTAAGTTGAAGCCAGCTCTACAAAATGTTATCTAAAGCTTCTCAAAAGACTTCATTACAAGAGACTTATTAACAATCAAACAGTAGATACATTTTTGGGACACCCTATATAAGATATACTATTAGGGTGAACGGTAAAAAGTGGGACACTTACGAAATAACTGGAGGTTTCTCAAGAGTGAGAAGCGATTAGACTTTCCAATTTTGATAGATGTTAGATTATGCTATTCTCTTGCAGATAATACCTATATAAGGTCATTTACATAATTAATAACTTTTATACTTACTGAAATGCAAAATCAGTCACCTCGATAAATTATGAAGTTTGAGCAGTATCTGCGCAGTGAAACATGTGAGACCACCCAAAGTACCACTGCTGGAGTGGGTGGTGGGACAGTCACTAAATCCACTACTGCTTGGTGGCCTCAGCTTGCAAAGTCAGGAGATATAGCCATTAGCAGCTTTGAGAACATAGATACGCGTTATTCAATTCCTTCCAGGTGAATGCATGTTTTCTAGGTACCATCTGATAGAGCTTTTTACGTTCTATCCATCCATTTGCAACTTACCTCAGATTTTATCTATCTTCGGAAAATATAGGGCGAAACAGGATTTTTTTGGTTTTTTATTGCGCCAAAAATAGCCACTTTTCAAGTTTTTTCGCTTTTCTTTCTAAAATTGAAAGAAAGTCTTATGCATTTAACATATCATTTGAAAGAGCATGAAAAGCTCTTTCGAATGGTATGTCATATACTTGACGACCTTACGGTATAGCAGCGCAAGAGAATGAGAATTGTCCCAAAGACCCTGTCTGAGTTCTTCACGGCGCCACGCGTACGGTTATGAGAGAGGAGCGGTAACGCGTTGCCAGAATAATAGGCGAAGGTCGTTTATGTAAGCGACATTTAAGTTGTAGCCTGTTGTTGTTGGTGAGAACAAAAAACCTCAAAATGTTAAAAAAAATCAAGCTGTCCCATTTTTTACCGTTCACCCTAATACTTTCCAGCAACAAGCGGTAAGTCACAATTTCTCCTCAGCTGCCTAAAGCTTGAAGAAAGTTCACTCTCATGCCACATAAAGATCACTGGGCAAAATTCCCCACAAAATTCAAAAAGTTTAGGACTTGCATGCGGTTTAGCTATTGCGTTCATAGCGGGAATGGAGAACATGGAACATGAAGGAGCTCTGCGAAAGTCATAAGCTGTGGTTTCGGTAAATTATCACCAAGTCGGATAGAGAATAATGCACATCACCGCAAGAACTTCCAAAGCAGTGGAAATGCAAAGGAAGCGAGAAAGAATGTGGGCTAAAGTGTGGAACAATTCTGAGGTATTAACAGTAATGAATCTTGGTGATATACAGGGTGTCCTAAAAGTAAGTACACACTTTTCAATCGCCAATATCTCTCTTCCCAATGGGTCTTTCTTTCGCCAGTCAAGTACCACCCTGTAGAGGAGGCTTCAACTTAGATTTGCAATATCGATCGAATCACCGATCACCCTTCGTTACTGTAGGATTACGGTAAGAACTTCCAGCATGTAGAATCACCGAGAAATATGCGATCGGACAAAAATTTTCCAAAAAATCTGAAAAATCGTGTACTAGGGTTTTCGCGCATGCTAATTCCATTACACAACTTCTTACGAGTGATTTCAGCTTTTTTGATGGTGCAATCACATTTCCGACAAATATTGGGAATTCCGTTATTACGGTTTACCTGGGATAACTTCGGAAAGAAGCATCACAGTAGAGTGGAAATTTCAGATTCGAAATCAGCGGCTCCTATTACCGTAGTATAAGAGTTTGTGGCTTGTTTAGTTTTGTTCCAAGGCAGAATATGGCTTCCAATGGCCTAAAATCCTTGTTGAAGTTCCTACAGTAATCCTACAGTAATGAAGAGCAATCGGTGATTCGCTCTATACTGTAAACCTAAGTTGAAGCCTCCTCTATAAAATGGCATTTGAGAGACGTAAAAAGACGCAACGGAAAGAGAGATATTAACGATTGAAAAGTGTGTACTTACTTTTGAGACACCCTGTATTTACATCAGGTCTTTTGTGGAACCACCTCCGTCTTCATGACCAAGCTTCTTCAGTGCTGCGTACGACTATGTTTTTGTAGAGAAGTTATACAAACCACCTAATCTTAGAAGGATGATTCAAAGAAGATGCACAGAAGCACGTGGCTCGCAACGGTGACTCATCGATCTGTAGCTGTTCGTAAAACTCATGATGATGTCATGATCCTGCACCTGGTAGCATCATCATGAGTAACACAAATACTAACAATGCAACACTTTTTTTATGGATACGAACGAAATCAAGTCCTCTTCTACCGTTAGATTGGAAAGAAAAGAATGTTGCTATTCTCGCGAATTCTTTCCGCTAAAATTGATATTTCTCAAGAACCAATGCCTATCCAAGGCCAAAATTCTATGGTCAAAGTTTCGAAGATATGTCGTACACACAAAGGCATAAATGGGAGGGCGGAGAATCACGGGAGGCGTTCTGCGTTCTTTACCATTCTCCGTTTAATTTTTTACTCAATTACTAAGGACGAAAAAATATAGCAAATGTATTATACTTATGGACAATTACATGTGTATGTTATATGCGGGAAAAAGTGTAAGGTTCGTAGGATTTTTTGGTGTGAAAGTCGGAGTTAAATATGAGGTTGTCCGAAAATTAATGCCCGTTTTGAATTTCAACCACAATAAGTCATGCACTTCTCACTTCTAAATAGGTTGCAGAGTACTGGCCATCTTGCTTTTGCAACAGCTCTCATCCACCTCGAGTTTCAAGCCAAAAACTAAAAAGACTCAGCAGCCCGAAAAATCGAAAATTGTAACTCAGCTCATAAAAATCCTACAAAAATTCTTACTTGCTCACGTAAACACTACCCACATAAAATATCTACATACGCCTTCGCCGTATTTTCCCTCTGTTAGAAACCAAAAAAACGGAAATTTTCGTGCATTTGCCAAAGTGATGCTGTGCAGTTCCCACATAGGTAGTTGTATACCACAAGCCTGTAAAAGTACATACTTGAATTGTCGGCTCTCTACGAGCTTTAGTTCTCGAGAAATTTGAATTTTAGCTTGGACCACATGACTAGGGAAAACTGTATTTGATATTTCTCGAGAACAAAAGCTTGTGGAGAACTGAAAATTTACGTTTCTTCTTTTACAGGCTTGTGGTATACAACTACTATGTTCGGACGGCACAGCATCACTTTGGCAAATGCCGAAAATTTCCGTTTTCTTGGTTTCTAACAGAGGGAAAAATACGGCAAAGGCGTATATAGATGTTTTATGTGGATAGTGTTCATGTGAACAAGTAAGAATTTTTGTAGGATTTTTATGAGCTGAGTTACGATTTTTTTTTCGAATTTTCGGGCTGCTGAGTCTTTTTAGGTTTTGGCTCGGAGCTCGAAGAGGATGAGAGCTGTTGCAAAAGCAAGATGGCCATCTTGTGGAGCTTGCTTTACTCTATCAAATGGTAATTTGCAACCTATTTAGAAGTAGAAGTGCATGACTTATTGCGGTTGAAATTCAAAACGGGCATTAATTTCTGGACAACCTAATATTATGAATTTCTCTTACGTTCTGGCTCCGAACTTTGGGTAAATCAGAATTTTTGCCATAGTTCAAACGTCATCTTGTAGCTTCCTTTGCACCACTGAATGGCGCCCTTCACTAATTCTTTTGAATCCATCTTATTGCTTTGCTTTTAGAAACGACATTCTTTTCTTTCGAACCTAATATTACTACTATCGCGTGCGACCAGTTTCAGCTAAGGCCTAAGGCATACCTCGCGCGATTCGGCCAAATCGCCACTTTTACGCGACTTGGCGATTTGCCAGATTTCTACAAATTTATCGTGCGCGCTTGTCGGACGCATATTTGGGTAGCTTGTGTAAGTTTTTGCAAACCGAGCAAGTTCTAAGCAAAGGCAGCGCATTAACGACGAATTGCAAAGAGTTGCTGTCGTGCCGAATCGCGCAGCGACCGGAATCGCGCGAAGTATGCCTTAGGCCTAAGACATTTTCGATTTTTCAATTTAAATTACTGTTCGCCCTATCCGTTTGTGTCTATAATCTCGTCCGTCCTCACACTACAAACTGCGAAGTACTTAAAGAAGATAAACGACAAAAATCTCAGCCACTTTTTCGTTGCCTCTTTTCTCAACAGAATTTGTGCCACTTTTCTCACCAGATTTTGCATGCATCGGTTGCGGTGATGATATCGAAGAATAATTGATTCTTTCGTAAACGCTGTTGGCCTTTCCCTCGAAATAACTATAAACATCAAAAAATCTTTAGAGACACCTTTGACGAATTTTCGAAAGAGTACGGTAACCTTAGTTTCGGCGTTTTTCCAAAAAATAGAGTTTTGACTTTTCGTGCAGAAACTTTTTTTTTGAATGGATTGGGCATGCATTCAAAAGAATATTACCATAGAGCTATTTTCCGAACCTTCAGAATGCGATTTATTGGATACAAAACGTGTAAAAATACGCGAAGGTGTTCCAAAAATGTGTACACTGTCGATCGTTGATAATTCTTTTGTTTTGAAAATTATCGTCGATCCTTAGTATCCGTCTGTAAAGCTCGCTTCAGTTCAGATTTACAGTTTGAAGAATCACCGATCTCTCTTCAGTACTGTACAATTACGGTCTAGTTTGAAAAGAGTTTTGGGTTATAGCCTGTTTCCGTCTAGAAAGAACAAACAAGCGCTTTTATTCTGAACTACTCAGAGTTGCTAATTTGTACATGAGTTGCACTTTACTACAATGATTATTTTAGGAGTTATGTCAAATTTACCGTAAAAACTGTATTTCCCTTCAAAGTGTGATGACACCATTGAGAAACTGTGTTTACAGTTTCCCAGCTATTATTTCGGATTTCTTCTCAAAAGAAATCCAAAATAATAGCTGGGAATAAAAAATTATAATCTTTCATTTCTCCTATTTTACAATGGCACTGTATTCTAAGGCAACTCTACAGAATGGAGCCACTAACTTGGCGAAAGACATTAGAACAAAAAGGAATAACCATGAAAAAGTTTTTGGCAATTTGTAGAAAGCAATTCACTGGACAGTCCTCCTCGAAAAGATGTATGTCGGCTCGCGGCAAAGGGAAGCTTTTCTCACATTGTCTTTTCAGTCAGAAACATTTTACGAGAAACTTATCAGCGCAAGCAATTCACCGAACCCATAGTAGGAATCAAAAAGAATCTATGCAGGTTTTTCGAAACCCTCCCCCCCCCCCCCCTCCTACCAGTGGGAGACGGTCAAGAGGCGCGATTTCTTTGGCTGTCACCAACTTAAAACTCTAGTTTAGTGCTATGCGAGTCTTCAAAAATTACCAGATAAACTGCATTAGCTTACTATCTGTTTGAAGTCACCAATTCCTGAGTTTCATGGTTTTTGCTCTGAATCGGACTGAAATATTTACGAATTTGTTCTGAAATGCATTTTCATGAGTTTTTGACCTTCAAAATTGCTGTTTTGAATTTCTATTAGAGCATCAAGATTGAACAGCTCATGCAACTACTTAATATATCTTCTTCTAAATTTCATAAACTTTTAGAAAGTTGCAAAACACTTATTATGTGTTATTTGGTGTCCAGCTGGCAATAAAAATCGCGCCTCTTGACATACACCCCCTACCAGTGAGCGCCTAGTAGAGGGCCCTCTATTCGAATTGATAGCTCTAGTCGCATACGAATTTAAAGGAAAAAATGAATGCTTTGCCTAGGATCAATGTCAAGAAGCGAAAGCTGTAACAAATATGGATACGACTTATTATGACATCATTTCTTGCAAAGACTTTTCTCCACTGTTATCGCTCAAAAGAACCTTCTTTACAATGGAACTGGAATGTTGGCTATAAAAATTCAGGAAAACCTATGAAATTGCTTCAACAAACTTGCTAGCGGCTCTAGGATTAACAACTATTATACTTATCATAGTAATCTCATGAGAATTAAACTTCAAGCTATATACTCAGTGTTCGACACAATAAAGGAAGAATTCAGAAACTCACACAATAGAGTCCATTCTTTGAGCGTAAACTGTGTTCCGTAGGAGATCACAAGAATCTTGAGCGGGTCAAAATTCTGGATTTCCCTATCTTTCTTCCATTTGTCACCTATTTGAATAGCAGAGAGCTTGTAATCCAAAGTTTGGACTTCACGCACATGCCGAAGATCGAGCAAAGTCGGCTTGCTGCTGAAAATGAGATCAATTTGATGAAGCTTAGAAATGAGTTTTAGGGAAATGACTAAATAAAATAAAGCATGGTGTTACCGAAACTGGGATACAAGCTGACTAATCAGATCACTACTCTTTCACTTCCATTTCAATTATTCATGACTTGGAAAAAACAATGGCTTTTATCTGCAAAATACTATGAATAATCAAACGCATTTATCCCCCCCCCGCCAATTTTTTTGAAATTATGTCAAAGGGTGCTGGCTACGTCAGCTAATTTCTGACAGTGACGGTCCGACGGTGCGAGGGGAGGAGAGGGAGTTTCGGAAAGTGGTTTAGATTGATATTAAGCGGGTAACTTGTTTTCATTTCAAACAATCTTGAGTAAGTTTTCCGGGGTGTGCCTGTCTTTACCCGACTTCTATTTGAATATCAGATGAAAGCCTGGCGAATATTCTGGGAAGATTCCTGAAAGTGTTTTTGGAGGCCGGATAATACCCTAATACCCTCCCAAAAAAATTCTCTACTACTACTCGTACGTAGTCCCTACAACATTCCTAAATTCGATACCAAACACCTATCACTTTAAGTCCATAGATATAGATCCTCAAAATACGAGATCCAGTAATTCAGCGATAAAAGAGCTAGAGCTTTTCGCATTCTCCGCAAGGTATGCCAAAGTCCTCCCAGTCCGAGAAATACTTACCGTACAGCTGTCTGCTCCAGTTTGGTCAGGAACAGTTGTCGTGTCTCCATGTTTAACGTCAACATCTTATATGCTGGATCCCACTTTTTCAGCACGTTGATCTTGCATACCTAAAAGTCCGCTTTCATCATGCAGCATTGCATCATTACCCTGACTTTGTGTCCTTTCTGCATGGCCAGGTAGATTTTCGCGAAATCCATGTGATGCTTGTTGAAGCTGCGGAAGGTGGTTGGTGCCGGACCGGCTACCGTCGTCTTCCGCCCAGGGACGGCCACCACCATCTTTGACGGCCGTTCTAGGCTTTATGCCCACTGCAAAGGTTTGTTAATTGAACATAAACTTGTGGGCTCCGTGAGCAGTGCGAGAGTAAGTGGTACACAATGCTTAGAGATAGGAAAAGCGTGAAAACACGTGGACAATAAAATAAATTTGAGTTGATCGTTATAAATGAGAGAACCAGGCAAAGAAAAAGGCGCTGGTTGCATTATATTCTAAGTGACCATTTTGTGAGATTCGCCCCGCTCTCCCCGAGACTTCCTGGCGTGAAGTTTTTGTATAAAAATATGCAAGTGACTTGTTTCGGAGTGTTTATTCACAAAAAAAGATTTTTCGCCTCGTCCCCTCTCCCGCCCTCCCCCAAACGGAAATCTTACCGCCACTGTTGGATGTATCTTCATCACCTGCGAAACAATTTTTAGGAAATTTTAGACGCAGCATTTTGAATGCATCTAGCATTTCCAGATTTCACTTTGGGAAAGAGAGGGCGGAGAGGAGACGATTGAGATTCAAAAAGACTTTTTCTTTGCAAAGACATAAGGTCGATGCAATCAAAATAACAATAAACCGGTCATGAAATTTTCAAAACCAAAAACCATTTGAGATACTCTAACTGCAAAATCTCATATACCTTTGGGTCGCATGGGTATGATTTAAATTTCTTAGAAGAGGACATGTGGAGATAAAAAATGCCATAGGATGTTCTGCAGAATTTTTCAGCAGATGATGGCAGATTTCTACCAAGGTTTTCGAGTTACCTATTAGTCATCTACTAGCATCTCACCGCGACAAGATTCACGTTTTCTATCCTAATATAAGTGCAGCATATATGATACATATAAGAATAGACTTCCTTGTGAGTGCTGCAATGACTTTGAAGGCTCACTCATGGAAATAATGAAGATGAGAAATATTGAAGAAATAAATTTACCCAATGCGCTATAAATTCAAAGAATCTTGTTTTGATGCTCAAATGTATGGTCGAGCTCTTCGGGTGCCATCATCCGCTAAGCGCTGCAGAGAGCAAACAGACATCGAATTCCACTGCAGTCTGCAGAGCCCGCGATTAATTTCGTTCTTTGAGAAGTAATTCATTTCCACAAGCTTATTTGATAGAAGCTGCAAGAGTCTGCAACGACTGTGTGACATGTGCGCATAAACAGCTCTGCTGAGCGGGATTGAAACTATGAAAATTCAGCAGTGTAAAAGTTTCACATTCCCTATCGGGGCTGATGTCTAATTTGTGTGTAGACAAAAGCAGATTGGAGAAATTTGCAGGTACAAAATGAAAACGAATAAGAGAGTTTCAATATCTTTATGTACTTACTATTACGCTATTCGGTTTCAGGGGCTAAGAACCATACCGGTAGTGCAGCTTCCTTGGTGGCCCCCATCAATAGTTAGATACCAAGCAAGCTCCAAAAGTAGATCGGCGCAAAAATGATCAGCGAATGATAGTGAGAAAATAAGCAACAACAGAACTAAGTAGCTGCTTGAGAAAAAGGAACAGCATAAGGAACAAAATATAAAAAAAGAGGTAAATAAAAAGTTAATAGTTAATATTATTAGTTAGTTAAAAAGTTAATCGTTAATGTTAATTAATTAATAATTTATTAATTCGCGTATGTATTCTATAGTCGACTAGCTGGCTTACCCGGCTCCGCCGTATCCGGACCAAACTTGGCACACATACACTTCGGGCCCCGGCGGGTGTCACAGTCCACCTTTCGTTATCGATCGATGTCGATTTTACCGATTTTTATCGATTTTTTTGCAGAGTTCACCTACAGGGCTAGGAATTGGCACAGGGGGGAAGTGAGCATGGGGATTCCGAATACAATATTAGTTTTCAGAATTATCGATTACTTTTATTGTTTTTATCGATTTTTTGTAAATTTTGACATGCGAGGCTGGGATTTTGCACAGGGGTGTAATCGAGCATGCTGATCATCCCCCTTGGGGATGATCAGCATGCTCGATTACCCCCCTGTGCCAACTTCCAGCCCCCTAGCTCAAACTTTGAAAAAAAATCGATAAAATCGATAAAAGTAATCGATAATCCTGAAAACCAATATTGTATTCGGAATCCCCATGCTCGATTACCCCCCTGTGCGAACTCCCAGCCCCGTAGCTCAAACTTTGCAAAAAAATCGATAAAATCGATAAAAGTAATCGATAATCCTGAAAACCAATATTGTATTCGGAATCCCCATGCTCGATTACCCCCCTGTGCCAACTCCCAGCCCCGTAGGTGAACTCAGCAAAAAAATCGATAAAAGTCGATAAAATCGATATCGATCGATGACGAAAAGTAGCCTATGACACCCGCCGGGGCCCGAAGTGTATGTGTGCCAAGTTTGGTCCGGATCGGTTCAGAAATGGAATTTTCTATTCGGAACATACGTACACACACACAGACAGACAGACAGACAAACAGACATTCAGCTTTATATATAAGATAACCAAGATTGTAAATACGCAGTTGAAAAGTTGAAAAGTCAATAGTTAAAATATTCAGGTAACTGCTATTCACTTACGGCCGCCACATTACTCGCTAGCGATTTTAGCTTGCTCCGATCAAAAGTATGTTTAACACTTCAAAGAAATTGAACTTGAGCATAAACAGCATAAACACAAATATCTCCAGTTTTGATAGCCTGATAAAGTGCCCAAAAGTGACCGCTCGTAACTCCTTATGTTTGCCTGAAATTTGATTTTGCGTATGCAAATTGATGTCTTCAAAGAAGTACCCAATCAATGATTTTGCCTAGAAAACATTGCAAGAACTGGATGAAGATGTCGTCTGGTGAAAGAGCAAATACATTCTATTTTCAGAATCACGGTGTTCACTCCTCTCGATCGTTCAGTACATTTACATCCTCAGAGCCCAAAGCATATGCTATAAAATTGGCCCCATTGAATCCAGCCTCAGCCCATCAACAAGTGCCCCTCCTCACCCTCAGACAGTAGCTTTCGACATCCGAAAATTGGTAGTGAAACTGAAATGTTTTTGCATGATATATGATAACGGATTAATGAGAACTCAGAAGAATCTGCGCATGCTGTATTGCGCCAAGACATGAACATTATTCTTCAAAACAGAGCAACCTGCACAATCCAGCTTATTTTCGCACATCCTTAGAATTTATTACAAGTATAGAATTAAGGTATCAAGTCGTTTCATGAGTCCGTAAAGCTTCATTCATGAAATGAGACTATCAAAATTCGGTCATTGATGTATGTTTCGTGTTGCGCCCACCGCCACTGTGCCGCCAGATTTTCTCCTCTTTCCAAACTGCCGGGCCCAGAGCCCAGCACAAGGTGGCATCTCAAATTTTTGAAAACGAAGTCCCCTTTGACACTACAGAACTTACGAAATACCTCTCTATTTGTAGAAGTACGGCTACTCGACTGCCGCGAACCGTGAGTGACTGGATGTAGGAAAAGACAAGGAAAATTGGAAATAAAAGCAACACGTGAAAAAAGGTGGTTTTAAACGTCGTCAACGGCCATAGCAAAGCAGAGAGAACGGAATTGTTAAAGTACTCATAGGTAAAGTTTGAGATGAAGATTGATTTATGTAAGTTTTGAAAAATTATGTGGAAAAGGAAGAAAATTATGACACTGTTGGGTTCGCGCAGCCTCAGGGTGCTCCCAGATTGCGCGGGAGCAACCTAAATTGAAAAAACGCTTGCAACTCCACCCATTCACATGATTTTTCATAACTTGTTGTACTTTGCTTTCTATTGTCGTCGAAAAGATACAAGTCAAATTTGGTGTCTCAATAATGCTTACCGGTTGTAAACGAACTAATTCTTTATTTTTTTGTGCATAAAGATCGTGTTTTTACACGTTGAAATCATGTGCAAACGAGTCTAAGCACTTACCGTGTTTGTAACGTGTCAATCTATCTTATCTTTTACTGGTGAAATGATATCAGAGTTCAAATTTAGAGCTCAATAAGAGTTAGCTTTGTGCTTGTTAATATTTTGTTCAATCAACTCTGAGAACTTTACGGGTTCCCTTTTGCTTTCCTCACGAAACGACATCCAGCATGTGAAAGCGTCACCCCTGCTGAGACCTGGCCGGGCCTAATCCCAAAAAGGCGTCTAACCATGCCTGAGATCGTCTTCAAAGCAAGCGTCGTACACATGACTGGCGAATGACTGGAGAATATGACAATATGCTAAGGTGAGATCTCATGGTCAGAAGCACATTGGATATTAAGGTACTTTCCGCACAACTGTGCGAAGTTTGCAGTGAGGGGTCAAGTTTTGACGTGCAGAAAACCTCACTGGACCTGTTCATCAGGCCTATTCATTAGGAATTGATTTAGACAACGGAGATGAGTGCTTACGGTGGCAATCATTTTGTTCTTGTCTAGCAATACCGCGTGCAAAACCTCCTGCCCATGCTACTAGAACACTTGTTCAAGAGTCACCCTGTTTCTAAAAGCAGTCCATTCCTTCTTTGTTTCATATTGAAATGCAAACCACTATCCACAATGAGCTAAAAGATCTATGCAGAAGGTATAAGAATGAATGAGCAAATCCGAGAACGCTTCTTTTTGCTTTCTGAAAAGTTCATCTTTGAAGCTGAAAGTGCGAAGCAGATCAGCTCCTCAAATCAAGTAATTCATTCCAAAAAGCATGATAAGCTCTTTTCAATAATGTACGCATCCTACCGCAATTTAACTCAAACAAGTTATTAGGTTATCAAGTAAATAATGTCGTTTTTTATTTGCTTGCTTTAAGCAAGCAACCAGATTCAACCCAACAAAAGTAAATGGATATTGTTCGATAGAGCAAAGCAAGCTTTACAAGATGGCGTTCCTGATTTTGCGCCAAGCTCGATCCATGGAAAGTTCGAACTCAAAATCTGAAGATTTTCAAATACCCAAAAAATCGAAAAAAATCAGATCTTCGTCCGAACAATTTTTACGGACCTCCCACTCGCATACTTCAATACTTCCGATATGTGATACCCATATGTGCAGTTGCTGTATTTTCTCCTTGACTAGAAATTGAGAAAACGAAAATT